ATTGTAAGAACTGAGCAGGAGTTAGAAAATCTCGAGTAAGAGTATCCCAGTTAGTAGGAATCATCTGACTGGAAACAGCAATATTCTTTAACGATCCCATTACAAAAGGAGAACCTGGTCCATACTGATTAATAGCTTGTTTAAACTCCTTGAGTATTTTAAAAGGAAAAGACTCAAATGTAGCTATATTTCCCTGTTGATCTGGGGGGTGTATTCTAACAAGGAACTGCCAAGCCTCTCTATCACCCTCTCGTCTAGCTTGTTGAATTCCTGCCTGAAGAGAATTAAGAGTGGTGGCTCAAGGCACTGCTCGAACAGTTAACTGCGGCAACTAGTTTTTGCCCAGTGTCCTCCAGAAAAGAAAGATCTGGAGGGTCAGGCCACTCTTTTTCTTCAAAATAATAATGAGGGGGTGCAGAAGGGTAGGGATGAACCTCTCCCTCCTGTGCCACTTTAGCTGGCAAATAAACCTGGTCTATAACCTCTTCTGTTACTTCGTTATACTCTCCTTCCTCCTCATTATCAGTGTGGAAAAGTTACAAGGAGGAAGGAACCAGGGTCCACATTTGTCCCATTGTTACCCTGATGCTTCCAAGCTCCCCTTCTTACTCGCCATGGGAATTGTTTTAAGACATTCTCCAATCGTTGCTCCAGTGACCCTTCGACCTGGATTCGAGCCCACATGATGGACGCAACTTACTGAGACTACCTCGGTTGGGGAGACCCTAACCCAGTAGCGCTAGAGGTATTAAAGACACACACAGAAATATAGAGGTGTGAAGTGGAAATCACAGGCCTCAGCCTTCAGAGCTGAGAGTCCCAAACAGAGATTTACCCACGTATTTATTAAAAGCAAGCCAGTCATTAGAATTGTTTCTATAGATACTAGATTAACTAAAAGTATCCCTTATGGGAAATGAAGGGATGGGCTGAAATAAAGGGATGGGTTAGCCTAGTTATCTGCAGCAGGAGCATGTCCTTAAGGCACAGATCACTCATGCTATTGTTTCTGGTTTAAGAATGCCTTTATGTGGTTCTCCACCCTGGGTGGGTCAGGTGTTCCTTGCCCTCATTCTGGTAAACCCACAACCTCCCAACTTGGGCGTTATGGCCATCATGAATATGTCACAGTGCTGCAGAGATTTTGTTTATGGCCAGTTTGGGGGCCAGTTTATGGCCAGATTTTGGGGGGCCTGTTCCCAACATGTAAGTTCAGTGTTTTGCTGAGTTCTCTGTGTAGCCTATCAAATTATTGAACTTGAGGAGGAAGATGTGGAAGACCTTGGCTTGTTAGCAGTAGTTCGGAAATAAAGATGATTATCCAGAGCCATGTGACTGGCATCTGTAGTTGGGACAGTGTTGTGGGACTGAGTCCTGAACTTGTGGATTCTGTGTTGACTCTGGGTGGTGTCAGAATTGAGTTGTTGGACAGCCAGTTGGTGTTGGATAATTGATTGGTGTTCAGCAAACTACAACTTTTTTTGTTAGATGAGAGCTACCACAGGGGCCTTCTGTTTGGGTTCTCTAGAGGGACAAAACTAATAGGATGGATATATATGTACAAAGGGGAGTTCATTTAGTATTAACTCACATGATCACAAGGTCCCACTGTAGGCCATCTGCAAGCTGAGGAGCAAAAAGAACCAGTCTGAGTCCCAAAACTGAAGAACTTGGAGTGCAGTGTTTGAGGGAAGGAAGCATCCATCCCAGAGAAAGATGAAGGCTGGGAAGCTAGGCCAATGTAACCTTTTCATGTTTTCCTGCCTGCTTTTATATCCTGGTTGTGCTGGCAGCTGATTAGATGGTGCCCACCCAGATTAAGGGTGGGTCTGCCTTTCCCAACCCACTGACTCAAATGTTAATCTCCTTTGGCAACACCCTCAAAGACACATCCAGGATCAATACTTTTCATCCTTCAATCAAGTTGACACTCAGTATTAACTATCACAGGCCTGGGCTGGAGGGAGACTTCAGGTGTCTGAGGGAAGTGAAGCTTTGTTCTGCACACAGGCTGTCACACTGTACATTGTCCTGTTATTCTTGGTCTCCTAGGGAGAGAGGGAAAAGAGAGTAAAAATATTCTGAGAACTTATTTCCTCTCCCTACTTTGGTGCCCACATGATTGTGACCCACTCTTGACCATACCCACTAAAAATTGACATGGCCACTCTTCTCCCAGGGCAATGTTTTACCCTCCGGAATTATGCCCACAACAGCTTTGCCCCTAGAGTTTTCGGCCAAGAATATACACAGGTGCCTAGAAGACTTCTGGCTTATCTCAACCCCAGACACTGAATGTATAGCAGGAACTTGTCTCCTTTACCAACACAGGCTTCTGTACTACATGATCATAATCTCTTCTGCCTGTACAGACACAAAGTTTTCTGAAACAAAGAGACTTACTAATGTTTATTGTTCTATTTGATTCTTGTATCTTTGTCCCACATTTTCTCTTTGTGTCTTTGTTTTTATTTTGATATGCTTTTACTTCTTTCTTATTTTGCTTTGTGTATCTATATAGATGTATTTTTTGTGCTAAGAAATTTGTTTTTGTGTATGTGCATATCTTTCCCAGAAAATAATGTATTTTAATACGATTTTATGTTGTTTTGTTGAGTCTTGTTATTTTCATTGGAAGCAACTGCTTTCAGCACCTTTTATATGTAAGAGTGCCAATATACTTCTTTAGAATTTGGTTAGTTTTGAAGTTTTTTTTCTTTTTATTTTGCAGGACAGACTTGGTGATGGTATTATAAATACTTGATAGTTAATTTTTTTCAGAACTTTGACTATTTCACACAGTCTCCTTCTGGCCTGCAAAATTTTTGTTGAGAATCCACTGGCTATCTCATAAGAGTATTGTTGCAAATAACACTTTTTTTTTTTGAAATGAAGTTTCATTCTTGTTGCCCAGGCTAAGTGCAATGGTGCAATCTCAGCTCACTGCAACCCCTGCCTCCTTGGTTCAGGCAATTCTCCTGCCTCAGCCTCCCGCGTAGCTGGGATTACAGGCAGGCATCATCACACCCAGCTAAGTTTGTGCTTTTAGTACAGATGGGTTCCCCCATGTTGGTCAGGCTGGTCTTGAACTCCCAAACTCAGGTGATCGGCATGCCTCCGCCTCCCAAAGTGCTGGGATTACAGGCATGAGCCTCTGCACCCAGCCAACACATCACTTTTATCTTGTAGCTCCCAAGATTCCCTTTTCTGTGACTTTTACAATTGTGCTTACATATGTGTTTGATATAAATATCTTTGCTTGTATCCCAGTTTGTTTGTTGGGCTTTTTTATTTTTACATCATTTTTCAAGATTTTTCAGTTTTTTAATATTTTTTACCTCCATAATTTGTTTTTCTAATATTTTAAATTTTTTTTTCTTATTTCTAGTTTTCTGATTTTCTATAGTTCTCTGTGTTCATATTTCACTCATTGAGTATTACTCAGTTTATTTCATTTTTTATTGTTTCTTCCTCAAAATTTTATTTTATTTATTTATTTTTTGAGACAGAGTTTTGCTCTTCTGCCCAGGCTAGGGTGCAATGGCATGATCTCCACCCACCACAACTTCTACTTCCCAGGTTCAAGCAATTCTCCTGCCTCAGACTCCCAAGTAGATGGGATTTCTGGTGCCTGCCACCATGCCAGACTAATTTTGTATTTTTAGTAGAGACAGGGTTTCTCTATGTTGGTCAGGCTGGTGTCAAACTCTTGACTTCAGGTGATCCGCCCACCTCAGCCTCCTAAAGTGCTGGGATTACAGGTATGAGCTACTGCACCTGGCCACATTGTAATAATCTTTTATCAAAATTTGAACATTAAAAAGTTACCTGTCACAATCTTTGTAATATGGCTTTCTCCTGGCATACTTTGAACAGTTGTCTGAATTAGAGATTCTGAGAGTCTCTCAAGAGCATGTTCTTTCAGTCTGTCTTATCTGAAATTTTGTGTTTATTTTTTAGTTAAAGGAAATTATTCGTCTTTTTTTTTTTTTTTTTTGGAAATGGAGTCTCAGTCTGTCACCAGGCAGGAGTACAGTGGTGTGATCTCGGTTCACTGCAACCTCTGCCTCCCAGATTCAAGTGATTCTCCTGCCACAGCCTCCTGAATAGCTAGGACTACAGATAAATGCCACCATGCCCAGCTAATTTTTGTATTTTTAGTAGAGATGGGGTTTCACCATGTTGGCCAGCATAGTCTCAATCTCTTGACCTCGTGATCCACCTGCCTAGGCCTCCCAAAGTGCTGGGATTATGTGCGTGAGCCACCACGCCTGACCCCTAGTCATCTTTTTTCTTAATACTCAGTAATCACTTGCTACCCCTGTTTTCTTTCTGTGGTACTGCAGTGTCTCTACTGCTGTAACATTTACCTTTGGTCTCAGCATACTCAAACTGTCATTCCAAAGTAAAGCACCATTTCTTTTTGCACTATGTATCATAGGAGACAGAAACCAGTGTCTGGAAAAGCCCAGACAAGCAAGTAATAAGTTTGAGCCAGCGTTTTACTTGTCTTTTTTAAAAAAAATCAAAAGTTGGAAATTTACCTCTTTTTTTCTTTTCTTTTTTTTTTTTTTGAGATTTATTCTCGCTCTGTTCCCCAGGCTGGAGTGCAATAGTGCGATCTTGGTTCACTGGTACCTTAGCCTCCCAAGTAGCTGAGATTACAGGTTGAGCCACTGCATCTGGCTGGCAATTTACTTCTAAAAGCATTATGTTATATTGGGGACCTGGAATAGCCATGTTGGGTGAATGTAACAAACTTTAGCTCTTCCCTTCTGTGTCACTTTGTGCTTACCTGGGGTGCTTCAAACACTTAACTCATTTATAATTTTTTCTCAGATGTTTTTGTTACATATATATGTCTATAAAGAATTAGAGCCTTTGGTATTTTGCTATGCTATCTTGTTTATGTAGTTTGTATAATATTATAGGTTAGATTTGTAATCTATGTTTATCTGAGTCTAGTAAGTGGAGTAATTTGATATTTTTATTTCTTTCAGTTATATGTTCTCATTTTGCTGAAGACCTTTGCCCAGGGCCAGGCATTAAAGATTCTTTTCAAAAAGTGATACTGAGAGAATATGTAAAATGTGGACACAAGGATTTACAGTTAAGAAAAGGCTGTAAAAGTGTGAATGAGTGTAATGTGCACAAAGAAGGTTATAATGAACTAAACCTGTGTTTGACAACTACCCAAAGAAAAATATTTCAATGTGATAAATATGTGAAAGTCTTCCACAAATTTTTAAATTCAAATAGACATAACACAAAACATACTAGAAAGAAACCTTTCAAATGTAAAAAATGTGGCAAATCATTTTGCATGCTTTTACACCTACGTCAGCATAAAAGAATTCATATTAGAGAGAATTCTTACCAATGTGAAGAATGTGGCAAAGCGTTTATCTGGTTCTCAATCCTTACTAGACACAGGAGGGTTCATACTGGAAAGAAATCCTACAAATACGAAGAATGTAGCAAAGCTTTTAACCAGGACTCAAACCTTTCTACACATAAGAGAATTCATACTGGACAGAAATCCTACAAATGTGAAGAATGTGGCACAGCTTTCTACCAATTCTCACACCTTACTAGGCATAAGTTAATTCATACTGGAGAGAAACCCTACAAATGTGAAGAATGTGGCAAAGCTTTTAACCGATCTTCAGCCCTTACTAGACATAAGATAATTCATACTGGAGAAAAACCCTATAAATGTGAAGAATGTGGCAAAGCCTTTAGTGTTTTCTCAACCCTTACTAAACATAAGATAATTCACACTGAAGAGAAACCCCACAGATGTGAAGAATATGGCAGAGCTTATAAGGAGTCCTCACACCTTACTACACATAAAAGAATTAATACTGGAGAGAAACCATACAAATGTGAAGAATGTGGCAAAACCTTTAGTATATTCTCAATCCTTACTAAACATAAGATAATTCATACAGAAGAGAAACCCTACAAATGTGAAGAATGTGGCAAAGCTTTTAAACGATCTTCAACCCTTACTAACCACAAGATAATTCATACTGAAGAGAAACCCTACAAATGTGAAGAATGTGGTAAAGCTTTTAAACAATCTTCAACCCTTACTATACATAAAATAATTCATACTGGAGAAAAACCCTACAAATGTGAAGAATGTGGCAAAGCTTTTAAGCGATCTTCAACCCTTACTATACATAAAATAATTCATACTGGAGAAAAACCGTACAAATGTGAAGAATGTGGCAAAGCTTTTAATCGGTCCTCACACCTTACTACACATAAGAGAATTCATACTGGACAGAAACCCTACAAATGTAAAGAATGTGGCAAATCCTTTAGTGAATTCTCAACACTTACTAAACATAAGATAATTCATACTGAAGAGAAACCCTACAAATGTGAAGAATGTGGCAAAGCTTTTAACCGATCTTCAGTCCTTAGTATACATAAGAAAACTCATACTGGAGAAAAACCCTACAAATGTGAAGAATGTGGCAAAGCTTTTAAGCAGTCCTCACACCTCGCTGGGCATAAGCATGTTCATGGTGGACAGAAACCCTACAAATGTGAATCATGTGGCAAAGCCTTTAGTATATTCTCAACCCTTACTAAACATAAGATAATTCATACTGAAGAGAAACCCTACAAATGTGAAGAATGTGGCAAAACTTTCTACCGATTCTCAAACCTTAATACGCATAAGATAATTCATACTGGAAAGAAACCCTGCAAATGTGAAGAATGTGGCAAAGCTTTTAACCATTCCTCAAACCTTACTAAACATAAGCTAATTCATACTGGAGACAAACCCTACAAATGTGAACAATGTGGCAAAGCTTTTAGGCGGTCTTCACATCTTAGTAGACATAAGATAATTCACATTGGAATTCATACTGAAGAGATTCTACAAATGTGAAGAATGTGGCAAAAGCCTCTTCCCTTAAAGAATGTGGCAAAGCTTTTAATCAGAACTTCACCCTTACTACACATAAGATAATTCATGCTGGAGAGGAACCATACAAATGTGAAGAATGTGGCAAAGATTTCTATTAATTCTTATACCTTACTAAATATAATTCATATTGGAGAGAAATTCTACAGATGTGAAGAATGTGGCAAAGGCTTTAATTAGTTCTCATCCCTTACTAAACATAAGAGAACTCATACCATAGAGAAATCCTACAAATGTGAAGAATGTGACAAAGCTTTTAACCACTTCTCAACTCCGCCTACGTATAAGATAATTCATGCTGGAAGGAAACCCTACAAATATGAAGAATGTCTCAAAGCTTTTTACTGATTCTTATACCTTACTAAACATAAAATAATTCATAAAGGAGAGAAATTATACAAATGTGAAGAATGTGGCAAAGCTTTTAACAAATCCTTGTCCATTACTAAACATAAGATAATTCATACTGGAGAGAAAACCTACAAACGTGAGGAATGTGGCAAAGCCTTTAGCCTGTCCAACTTACTGCGCATAAGATAGTTTATACTTGAGAGAAGCCCTACAAATGTGAAAAATGTGGCAAACCTTTTAACCAATCCTCAATGCTTGTTACACATTAGATAATTCATGCTGGAGAAAAACCCTACAAATGTGAAAAATGTGGCAAAGCTTTTAACCAATTTTCAAACCTAAGAAAATTTTCAAACCTAAGAAAATACTAAACATAAGATAACTAATACTGGAGAAAAATCTTAGAAATGTGAAGAATGTGGTAAAGCCTTTATCCAGTCCTCAACTCCTACTAAACATAATGATGGAGATAAACCGTACAACTGTGAAGAATGTGGCAAAGCTTTTAACAAGTCCTCAAACCTTATTGAACAAAATAATTCATACAGGAGAGAAACCCTACAAATGTGAAGAATGTGACAAAGCCTTTAACCAGTCATCAAGTTTTACTAAACATAAGAAAATTCATACTGGAGAGAAACCCTATGATTGTGAAAAATACGGCAAAGGCTTTAACTAGTCCTCAGTTCTTAACACACATGAGATAATTCATACTGGAGAGAAACTCTACAAACCAGAAAGATGTGGCAATGCTTCTGACAACACCTCAAACTTTTCTAACCATAAAAGAAATCATATTAGTGAGAAATCCTAGAAATGTGGAGAATGTAACAAAGTATTTAAATGGTTGTCACACTTGATTATAGGTAATATACTGGAAAAAATTCCTACAAGTGAGAACAATGTGGCAAAATTTTTAACTAATACATCTTATTGCACAGAAAATCATTTATATTTGAGAAAAATTGTACAAATATAGACTATGAAAAAGACGTCAGTATCTGCTCACATCTTAACACCAGAGAGTTCATGCTTAATAAAAGCATGACAAGTACAATTACTGTCAAAAGATGTTTCAGAAAATATTATCCTTTAAAGTGAAGGAGAGTATATTAAAGACGAACATTACAAACATAAAAGGTTGTAGTACTTGTATTGGATCTTATTGTCTACATTTTGTACTAGAGAAAAACTGAAGGGGTTGCTCAAACTTTATTCAACATCAGGGAATTTATATTGGAGAATTGTCTTGCAAATGTAATAAATTTGGGAAAAGACTTTTTCAAAAACTACAGCTTAGCAAATACCAGAGTTTATACTAAAATATATTTTCAAAGATGTAGTAAAAATAAAAAAATTCAATCCAAATTTAAGTCTATGTAAATACCAGAATTTATAGTAGAAATATATGAGGAACTGACACTTCAAATATTCTAAATCAGAGTTCTGAGTATATAAAATAAAACTAAAGTTGGTAGAAAAGTTATTTGTATATAGTGTTAGGAGTAAAAGATTTGCAGAGTAATAACTATATTCAGATCATAAATTCTTGAAAAAATTACAGGTTTTTTGAAAAGCAAATGATGTAACTCAACTCTTTATTTTCTGCTGTTTCTTCATTCCTGACTTGTGAAAACATGTTATCATTTGTTGCTGCATCAGAGGTATGAGATTCTTTTTCATTAGGAGGGCATTTATTATCTTTTTTATGGATGAGTAAGTATTAAAATGTAAGATGTATGATGAAAATCTAAGTGGAGAGGTTCTTTGTGGTTAACTTATACTATTGAGTGATGCACGAGTAAGGTGTTAAGAGTAATATTCTTTTGCATTATGAGAAAACTAGTAGTATATTTGTATGTTGTACTAATTGTGCTTTTATATGATAAAATGCAGTACATTTTTAAAATTTTAAATTATGTGTAAATGTAACTGTTTCAACATTTTTATTGTGCATTCAATGAAGTGTTACTATGCCAAAAAGGTTAACCTTTTCCACCTTACCAAAAGGCATAGGTAAAAGATGGTGGTAGTATACTATTTGGTAGCATAATGGACTAACATCTGTAGTCATCTCTTTTGCCAGTGCTTCAAACTGCAAATAAGTTAAAGAATATTGTTTTTATAGGTTAAATTTTTATTCTTATTTTAATCATTTAAATTTATTTTTCTTAATTTTTGTGGGTACATGAGTGTATATACTTATGCCATATATGGCATATTTTGATACACAAATACGATATATAATAATCACATTGGGATACATGTGGTATCTATCACCTCTAGCACTTATTCCTTTGTATTACAAACAACCCAATTCTACACTTTTACTTATTTTAAAATGTACAATTATGGCCAGGTGCGGTGGCTCACGCCTGTAATCCCAGCACTTTGGGAGGCCGAGATGGGTGGATCACCAGGTCGGGAGTTCGAGACCAGCCTGACCAACATAATGAAACCCTGTCTCTGCTAAAAATACAAACAATTAGCTGGGCGTGGTGGCAGGCACCTGTAATCCCAGTTACTTAGGAGGCTGAGGCAGGAGAATCACTGGAACCTGAAAGGTGGAGGTTGCAGTGAGCCGAGATCGTGCCACTGTACTCCAGCCCAGGTGACAGTGTGAGACTCTGTCTCAAAATTCTATAACTATAGAATTGTTATTGCCTACTGGGTTATTCAAGCAAGCAGAGAGCTGCCTAGGTTACTTTCCTGTGCTCCTTAGTGTTACACAGCATGAGAAGCTGCTGCCTGCAGTCTGGTCAGGTTAGATTCTGTGTCAGAAAGATGACTGCATCAGATCTATAAGAGCTTGGGGCTTCTCCATATAGGAGGGAGTATGGTGTTTCCAGTTTAAGAGATCAGTGGTTGAAAAGGGCTGAGAGATGAAAGTACATTGCCACCCTTGGATTTGGCCTTGGTTATCTTAATAAATGGGTCCTTGTGTCTCCCTGAGAGGCATTTGCATACATCAAGCACAGCCAGATCTGAGACAGCCTGCTTGACTACCTTGACTTCTTTCCCTGGCCTCTCAAGGCTCCATCTTTCCCTTCAGCGTGAGAGTTGGGTGTGCTAGCTCCTGAATCTGGCTCCCAGGGGGCTGCTGACTTCAGTAAAGGGGGGTAGGCTGTGACATATGGAGTAGGAATCTTTATTCCCTCTGGCAGCTCCTGCAAAACTGGCTTTCTTGCTCCCTCTGGGACTTCTTCTTTAACTCTATCTGCTGGCGAAGCTGCTCTTACTTTCATTTTTGGCTTGGCTCGGGCCACAAGTGTTTTGCAATAAGCTGCTAAACAGGGCTGGATTAAAGCTGGTCTTGTTTGTGCTGTATTTAACCACGAGTCAATATAAGGAAACTGATCTGGATACCGAGGCTGTCCTGTATCCCACCACTACGTTAAGTACACGGCCAATTGTTTTCCTATCTATAGTTCCTTCGGTCAGCCATCCAACACTAAAAGAAGGTAGTTCTATTTCACAGAGAGTTCTTAACCTCTGGGGCGTTTTACAGCTCCGTAATTCCCTGTAAAACCTTCTTTAAAGTTCTGTAACCTGCGCTCCAGTGGAGTGGACTTTGATGACTTTACTCCCACTTCCTCCCTTAACTAGGCAGCACACCCACTCTTCCTTTTGCCTCAGACTGACCAGACCATCCCCAATTACCGGTGTTTTCAGATGCTGCTTGGCTTTGGAGAGGTCCTTATTCCCACCCCAACTCTGAGCTGTGGGGCAACTCCTATTGGCCGTATACAGTTCACCGGGGCAGCCCCACACTTTGCTTGGGGCACACAGTCTATGCTAAGAGATCTGTGACTCCCCACATCACTCGTTGCATTGGTTTCTCCTGAAACCATCTCTTTCACACGCTTTTATATACGTCCCTGTTCCCAGTTCCTGTGTTCCTAATTGGGGTGGTGAGCCACTCTCACCACCCCAGTTTCCTTTACCTAACCAACTAAGCAAGCCACTCTTGCATCCTGTGTTGGTTGAGGTGTGAGATTCATCTGAATTGGCAAGCCCCTCTCGCTGCCCCAAGCCTCTCTGGGTCAGACTACTAGTTACACTCCAGGAGATGATCAGGCTCCCCTTCTGTCCTTATCAGACGGGTCCTGCCTTGGACCTCAATAACTTACTGTGGTTCCTGAAGTGCGCTGTTTCTGGAATCATCCTGTAGCCCTTCTCAGGCTCCATTGCACTGCTGGTTAGGGATGCCAGGTCATGGGAGAGCTGATTTCCCCTCCGGGCTGAAGTTCTCCCAGCAGCACCTGGGTCCCAGGTTTCCCTTGAATCAGGGCTCCAGCCCCACAGGCAAAGGAGACAGTAAATCTGCCATCTCTGCTCCTGGCTGGCCTACCAAGAAACGTTGTGGGACACAGAGGATTAGAAAGACCAGTATGAGTGAATAAAGGAGGATACTTATTTTAAGGTATGCACTGGCTCAGTGGATTCACATCCAAACAGCTGAGCCTTGAACAAAGACTGAACAAGGTTTTAATAAGTAAACTTACAGAAGCAAAACAAAGGCAGTTAATTACATAATGACAGGTTTATGTAATTTATAGCATAACTGAATTATTGGCATAACTTGTGGCCTTTAATAGCTGGTGGCTTTGTAGTTGTGTTGAAAGAGAAAACAAGAACTTGCTAAATACAGACATTTGTTTGTTTTTCTTTGTTTCCTTCACCCTTGCTTCAGAGGGGAGTGTCTGGAGCCTATTTCTTTGGTTTCAACTTCTCAAACAGCATTATCTTATAACTGTCCTTGAAGTAAGCTTGCTAGGCAAAGAAAACTTGTTCTTCTTTTCTTTTCAACCCTTGCCTTGCCACATTCTGGGCTTTGGCTTTTACTTTTCTTGAAATAAATAAATGCAGTAATTACTACCTCATTAAGAGAGACGCTTCTGATCAAATTGATCAGCATGTCAAACTCTCTGCTTAATCAGCAGTAACTTTATTTTCACTCTTCAAAGGCATTTTAACTGCCTGAAATGCAAAGGGGCAGTTAATGTGACTGTGCTGAGCTGGACCTCTCCAGTGTCAGTCTATTCACATTCACACAGGTGATCTTCTGGTGTAAGGGGATGCACTTCAACAGCATTATCACAGCCATGTGGAACAGATGTAATAGGATAAAAGGTGAATCACTGCCTTACAGGAAAAAGGAGTTAATCTTATTCATTTTGTGTATGAGTATGTGGAGAATAAAGTCACAGAGAACGCTTTACATTAGTAGTGCAGTGCAGATCCTATGCAATCTTGTTTGTCAAACATGTCTTGAATAGTTTTCTTAAGTACTATGTTTCTATATCCATCCCTTACTTGATTCTGATAATTAATTTCTACTTTATCAATTTAAATATTCACTCAACATCATCCAGATTTCTCTCCTTGATGCTTAAGTCCTCTGAAATAAAATATTATTGATAAAAACATCAGCCTTTATTTGATAATTTTACTACAGAGAATTTCTTTAATTTGGTCAAAATGAAATAAAACAATGAATATAAATCATTTTGGAAGTGAATTCAAATTATTTAAAATGTTAAATTTGATACATATATGTGTGTGTCCGAATTTTTTTTAAATGTGAATACATAAAGCTGAAACTTGAAAAATATACATGCTTTTAAGACAAATCATTTTGTGATCATTTAAGTTTTAAATTCAGCACTTTTGGCTATGTTGAAAATGAAAATATGAAATATCACAAAAAATAATGTGAAGAAAACAAAGCACAACAGTCCTGATGGCTGTTGTGAGACCTCGGTTCCTAGTTTCAAAAATTTAAACAAGAGACACAAAAAAACGAGGATGCCGCATAGATGGATTTATTGCAAAGTAGAAATACTATTTTAAAAGTTAGGTGCAAAATACCCTTGAGAGAGAAGCAATTCAGGATGGGCAGATTATAAGAATGAGACAGCATAGACTGGAAATAGACTCTATTTATGGGAGTCTTACATAATTATTTACAAAGAGAATGTGGTGTTATTAGTAAGCACGTTCTGGGTGATCCTCTTGGTGCACATACACAGTGGCTGTACATGCTTGTTTGTACATCACATATCTCATTAGCATATTAAAACTCCACTCGTGTGTTTTTTAGTACTACAATGAGTAAAAGATCAGAGGACAAGTAAAATAAAAATGTGCATGCTCTTTACAGGGGAATATCCCTACTGAAGAGAGCTTTGCTTGAATGAGCTGAAATGCAATGCAAATGTTGGGGTTTATTGTGTTGACAATATGCTGTCAGCATATAATCGCCATGGCTGCTGCATCCTGAGGACATGGTGACTTTCTTGACTACCTAGCCAGCCTCAATAGTACTGATCTTAGTTGATTTTCAACTATCAACTCTGAGACTAAGATTTAGCTGTTATGTCAATATTGTCAAAAGTGTGAAAATGACAATTTTAAAATCAAACATATTTGAGCTTGATTTGGGTCTCTAGCTGTGTACCCAGGAGAAATTATTTTACATTCCTGGAGCTTCAGTCAATATGTATGCATTGCTGTATGTTTGTTTTTTTGGTGTAGGTTTTTGTTCGTTTAGATTTTTAAGGATATTTTTTCCTACTTTATGCTGATTTTGAGTTACACAAAACTTACCAAGAGCTCTATTTTAATACATTTTTTCAACCAAAAGGTTAAATTCTTAAATATTGAAAGTGGCATTCTGGATTATCCTTTTCCATACAGACTACACTGCAGTTTTCCTTATGTGGTGCAAGGTTATAAAAATGCCATTCAGTTGATTTCCTAAGTAACAGTAGAATGTGTTTTCTCAGACAGTAGCATGAGAATTTTTGACATACTACCATTAGACATAATGAAAGCAAGTGAATAAACGTGTTGAAATTTGTCTTTATTCACAAGGTCATTAGAGGCTAAGTCATGGCAACACATGTAGTTCAATCCAAATTTTTTGTATAACATTTTGTTGAGCCGCATCTATCTGCATATGTAACACTAATTTAGTAACAGCTTATTTATACTAAGCCAGAATTAATTTGTCCTGATGGTTTTGTTTTAAATGTGTGAGCTGTATTATACCACATTTGAACAAGTAATATAGAGTAATATGAATTTACCTTAGAGAAAGAAAAGTACAGATGAATTAGAAGCTGGCAGCTGACACTGATTAACAGGTTGGGCAAATTCTACTAGACTTAAATTTCTGTAAACAATTTTGAAAAACAGAATTTTAACTAAAAACATCAACAACATAATAAACTTATGAGATTAAAAAAAAGTTGATTTGTTTACCCATCATCAATCAATACTAGGTTAAACTAGAAAATTGTGAACACATCATATAAAAAATAAAATTACTGAACTTTCCTCAGACTTCATCTGATTAAAACAAGGCTTCTGGGTATTTGAAAGCACCAAATTATTGATGAAAAATATCTATTTTGAACAGATTGTTGATCTTATATACACACTACTACTAAGTAAAACCTAATACAGCTTTGATTTCTGAAATATTTGTGAATGTCTATCACTATACTGAAAAATCAAGAAATTATTTAATCTGTCTAAATTTTGAGGAAAATATTTGCTATTTTAATTGAATGTCAGTATTCATGTAGTATGGCAAACCACCCATTTCTTTAGTATTCTGCTATTTTATAAAATAAACCAGAATTTATGGAGACATTTGTAAAAAAAAAAAAAAAAAAAAAAAAAAAAAAAAAAAAAAAAAAAAAAAACTTTTCTAAAAGAAGTTAGACATCAGAAAATAGCGATATTAATGTTACATTATATACGTAGTTTGCTAAACCCTACCATAATCTGTAAAGTTTTTTGTGTACAACAATCTTAGATTACCTAAAACAAAATGAAATTTCTTTTTTTTTTCTTTTAGACAGAGTCTCACTGTCACCAGGCTGGAGTGCAATGGTGCAATCTCAACTCACTTCAGCCTCTGCCTCCAGGTTCAAGCAGTTACCTCCCTAGTAGCTGGGATTACAGGTGCCTGCCACCGTGCCCAGCTAATTTTTTGTATTTTTAGTAGAGACAAGGTTTCACTATGTTGGCCAGGCTGGTCTCAAACTCCTGACCTCAGGCAATCCACTCACTCCAGCCTCACAAGGTTCTGGGATTACAGGAGTGAGCCACCATGCCCGGCTAATGAAATTTCTTTCTTATGTTATGCTTATATATATATATATATCTCCAGACAGACAGGAACTATGACTGCCACTTTAGAAAACAAATGTTTCAGCGCAATACAATGTTTTGTGTATGTACAAAAGGAAAACCAAACTTTGAAGTTTTCAAATTATAAACAGGAGCATTGTGATTCTAAGCTTTAAATATATAAAACAAATATATTATTTATTTTTATTATTATTATTATTATACTTTAAGTTCTAGGTTACATGTGAAGAATGTCAGTTTTATTACATACGTATACATGTGCCATGGTGGTTTGCTGCACCCATCAACCCCTCACCTACATTAGGTATTTTTCCTAATGTTATCCCTCCCATAGCCCCCTAGGCCCCGACAGACCCCAGCATGTGATGTTCACCTCCCTGTGTCCCTATGTTCTCACTGTTCAACTCCCACTTATGAGTGAGAACATGCAGTGTTTGGTTTTCTGATCTTGTGATAGTTTGCTGAGAATGATGGTTTCCATCTTCATCCATGTCTGTGCAAAGGACATGAACTCATCCTTTTTTACACCTGCATAGTATTCCCTGGTGTATATGTGCCACATTTTCTTAACCCAGTCTATCATTGATGGACATTTGGGTTGGTTTCAAGTCTTTGCTATTGTGAATAGTGCCACAACAAATAGACGTGTGCATGTGTCTTTATCGTAGAATGATTTATAATCATTTAGGTATATATTCAGTAATGGAATTGCTTGGTCAAATAGTATATCTAGTTCTAGATCCTTGAGGAATTGCCACACTGTTTTCCACAATGGTTGAACTAATTTACACTCCCACCAACAGTGTAAAAGCATTCCTATTTCTCCATATCCACTCCAGCACTGTTGTTTCCTGACTTTTTAATGATCGCCGTTCTAATGGGTGTGACATGGTATCTCATTGTGGTTTTAATTTGCATTTCTCTAATGACCAGTGATGATGAGCATTTTTTCATATGTCTGTTGGCTACATTAATGTTTTCTTTTGAGAAGTATCTGCCCATATCTTTGCCCATTTTTTGATGGGCCTGTTTGTTTGTTTCTTGTAAATCTGTTTAAGTTCTTTGCAGATTCTGGATATTAGCGCTTTGTCAGATGGATAGATTGCAAAAATTTTCTCCCATTCTGTAGGTTGCCTGTTCACTCTGATGAGTTTCTTTTGCTGTGCAGAAGCTATTTCATTTAA